TAAAGGCCAGTGGGAAATTTGGCCAGGATGCCGGGGTAACACCCCTACTCTTTGCGAGAAACGCCCTGGGATTTTTAATGACTACAGGAGAGTCAGGACCTCAGTTTTACGTCTCATCCAAAGGACGGCGTCTTTTTACAGTATAGTGTCCCTGTCACTATACTGGGGCATTAGGACCCACATGTGAGCGCTCCCTGCTGGCCCCACGAACACCTCTTCCAGCAGCAACCTTCGTTTTTCCCAGGAGGTCTCCCACCTGCTGAGCTTCAGGGGGGCTGCCAGTGGTGAGCAGCAGGCTGATATGGCTGCTGGCTGAATCCAGCAGACTCATCAATAGCCCAGTCCTCTTGGGCTCCCTTAACCCTGACAGTCTCTTACCTCATCAGAGACACACCTCTCTACTTCCACCCTCCTCCAGCAGAGAACAGCAACAGCTGAAGTTGCCTCTTTCCACACTGCTAAGAGTGAGGCATTTCAGATTTTGAAGAGTACCAACTTTACTGTATATCTCTCCATCTTACCATATATCCAGACTTTTACTGTACTGAAGGTATACCCTCCATGTTACTGCACATCACTAATGAGCTGGACACAGCTGGCAATTGCTACTGGAAATGGTTGCTGTTGGGACACAGCAGATTAATCACAGAAAGCTTGATTGTTTTGGGGATGAAAATGCTTTTGCGCTATTAAACCATTAGACCTGCTATTCTCTCACCTTGCACTCACCCAGCACTTGACCAGTGCAACAATTTGCATGTAATAATACATCCAATTAATCAAATAAACCAGCTGCTGTCTCGGAAAAAAAAACGAAATCACGTGGAACCAAAAGGCTTCACTACATACACCCTATTCCGGACATAATAGATCACGCACAATACTTGCTGTCTTTAAAAAGATTGAGGCAAGCCCCAGTGAAACAGATTACAGCGTTGAGCCAAAATGGTCCGGAGGGATAAAGATTAGCCCAGTTTGTGAAGTATTAAATGAAGGGAGAGTGGAAGACTCTGTGTGGAAGAGATGATAGGCTATTTGCAATCTAAACCTCATGGGACTCATTTACACAGATGGGCTAACTGAGGACGTCCAGGTAGAGTTCCTTGTTTGAAGATGTATAAGCTGTCTGTGTCACGAATATGAACCCATGACTTTCTGGTCCAGAGTCTAGGATCTTTTCTTTTTTTAAGATCACTTGGCCATATACAATTTCTTGGATTAGGAATTTGTCTTTTCACATACCCCAGCTTGCTCTCCATGAGACACACAGGCAGGGAGAGAGAAGCTTGGGGTCAGAGCGCAGGGTCAGCCATTAATACGGCGCCCCTGGAGCAGCTGGGGTGAAGGGCCTTGCTCAGGGGATCCTCTGCCGGCCACGGGATACGAACCGGCAACCTTCCAGCCCCAGGCGCAGATCCTTAGCCACAGAGACACCGCACCGCCTCACACTCTTTGTGAATTGTCTTTGTCATATCTATCCACTGCCATCTCACAGACATTTCATTAAAATCACCTAGAGCACGGTGCCAGCCCATGGCTTCACTGCTGTCTATAAATCTGTATTATAACTGGAAGCAGTTAGGGGATGAAGCCAGCACACAGAGGCTGATGTGGGATAATTGCTTTTGACAACATGCTGTACATAATCTACAGGACTTACAACAATTTTTCAAATAAATGAAAAGCCTCAGAAAAAAAAAAGGGAGAGAGAGTGAAAAATAACCTTCTTATGAAGGGAATAGCAATTGGATTTCTATTCCAGATTTCAAGTATTCATTAGGCTTAAGTGACAGGACTTTGCAGTGAACAGCGAGCAATTCCTTCATTCATCTTGCTGTACACTCAGCAGATCTGCACCACCGTGATGTGACATTAAATTATAAAAGACAGCATGGCAGATTAAAACTGTGGGGGCTCCGATAGGTTACGGGCTGTGTGCTGCATGAGAGGCTGTCAGGTTCTGCAAACAGAATGAGACTCTTTCATTAACTGTTGAAAGGTTAAGAAAATGTAATTAAAGAGTTTATAAAATGTGCCCGGGCCTATCTTGCAAACGATTGCCGGAGAGGGCACTGGTACTGCCTTATGCTTGGCTTTCACTCGTACTAACTTTTTATTATTCATTGGCCACACACAATACAG